CATTTCTTTTATTTTCTGGAAAATAGTGGTTGAAAGTGACCATACGTGAAAGCTTTCTAACAGTGTAGTGATCAGGGAATGCTCTCTTTAATCTGGACAGGTTTTGCATTCATATGAAATAGTCAGGGTTTCTCAAGGTAATTTCAAGCTTGTCCACCAAAACTTATATGCCATGCAAGCCCACAGATAACACTATACTGGAACAGCTGATTTTTTTGCTTTCATTTTGCTTTCAGTGCAGAAATGGTTCCAAGTTTTTCAGGATGCAGTTCCTTTTATAGAGAAATTATATTAATAGATAATTTAACAGTTACTAGTCTTGTGACTCTTGCCAAGTCACTTTTGTATGCTCTCAAATGGGCATTGTATTAGTAATGTTATGGATAGTAATAGTAATGCTATGGCTAGTGGAAAATATATCATTTGAAGAGGACAATAACCTGATCCCACAGCGTGTTACAAGGTTAGGTACTCTGCTGTATAGAAGTTAACTGTGACACAAGAATTAAGTGACAAATTATGTGACAGCTGCAAACAGTCCCGTGAAATGAGATGCTTTCTTCCTTTTACTTTTAGATGCCTGTTTGCTATCCTTTTTAGCACTTCAGATATGGAAAAAGTAGCCGATCATATTTCATTCATATTCTTCATTAAGTGTGCATTAATGTTGCTGTTTTCTTCTAAACAGGAAGGTGAAATATTTCAACATGAAAGGGAGTTTTTCTGATCCACATACAATCCGTGGTTTAACAAAAGCAGGTAAAGAGGTGAGCTGCTGTGCTGATTTCTGCAGTATCATTCACTTCAAACATTTCAGGTCTTCATGTGTTCGTTTTCAGGTCAACTGGGAGCTAGATTGTACTTTTGCAAATTGCTTTAGGTATTCAGTATTGTTTTGGTGAGGGGGATTTGCATTTTTCCACGTAGAGGAGATGTTTATGAACTTGACTGTTGCCTACTGAGTCCCTAGCCTCTAATCTGTCAGTTAGATGCCATTACTCTTTCTTTGCAGATGGAAATGCTGAGACAAAAGTGTTGGGTTTTTTTTTTGTCAGAGTCATAGTGCTTCGATAGATGCTTTCGGAGATGTAAAGAGGACCAACATCTCCTTATTGCTCTGGGCATTAGATCAGTCTGAGATGTTTCCCTCCTTCAGATGAGTTGTAAGGGTGCTTAACTTTCTAATACAAAATTGTGTGTGGGAGGCAGTTACACTGAATGCACAGCTTCAAGCAACTGGGTCGTGTCACAGAATGGTAGCCATCTCTGCATATTTAACAAGAGACTGAACATGCATTTTTAACACCTTTTTGAGGATTATTATATAATGTTACTTGTTAATATCAGCTTGAGAGAGCAAAAGTTTTTGGGGGTAGATGCCTAGCATTTTCTAAAAACGTGCCACTTTTGAGGTAGCTTAACTCCAGGCCTTAGAGACAGAATTCACTTGCTGTGATCTCTGTGTGTTTTGTCCTAAGCAAAAATGTATTTTTAAAAAGCTGCCATTTGTGCACAACTGTTGCTTCCAAGTAGTCATCAGTATCTTGTCCAGTAGAGGAACAATTGTAAGCTTAATATTAAAACAAAAAGTGATAGAGAATGTGTAGGAGAAACTCCTGCATGTATTAGTTCATCTCCAGCCTTTTTTTAATGCATTGCTGATTATTGTCATATTAATAGCAGGTGGTAGTGCCAGCTTTCTCATTTATCGCTCATTTGCACATAGATAAAATCTAAAGACAGGTAAAAGGATTTCAGATGCTTGATTTTGATTTTGTATTTTTGTTTTTAGACTATTGTTACTGCAGAAAATATTGTCATTGCTACTGGAGGAAGACCAAAATATCCTACACACGTAAGTTACACTTGCCATCTGACAACTCCAATGGCTTTACTGGTTTTGTTGCAGATAACAATGGGTTTTGTTGCAGATAATGATGAATGTTTGGAGGATAAAGAATGTAAATATAAAGTAACACATGAGAGATTTTTTTGTACTTGTGTGAAAAAATATCTTTTATATAAAGCACAGGCTTTTCAGGAAAATATTTCCATAGAAAACAATTTGCATCAATTTAGTATATGTTGATGATGCTTAGAGCTGTAGGATAATTCAGGTTGGAAGGGATCTCTAGAGGTCATCTCGTTCAACCTCCTGTTCAAGGAGGTTGGGGTCAGTTGTGAGGTCAGATCATGTTGCTCAGGGCTTTTTGCAGTCAGGTTTTGAAAATCTCCAAAGACGGAGACTGGATAACAGATCTGGCAACCCCAGATATATTCCCCTTGGTCTACTGGCTACACTTCAGCTAATACAGCCCAAGTCGCTATTAGCTTGCTTTGCTGCCAGGACTTGCATTGTAGATGCAAGACCTTACCTGTGTGTTCATAGATTGCAGGTGCACTGGAGTATGGAATCACAAGTGATGATCTATTCTGGTTAAAAGAATCTCCTGGAAAAACGTAAGTTACCTTACCATAGCTTTAATAGATACCGGCATTCATATTTTTTCTTTATGGCAAGATGAAAAATGATCAAAATTGCCTTTTATACACCAATTTTTCTGTCCTTCTGTTTTCCTTCTGAGAATTTGTTTTATGATGCGTCAAGGTCACACTACCAACCTTCATTAGTAACTAATTGTTTTCCCCCTCTCACCCTTATGAAATTCCCTTCTAAAATCAAATTAAATATGATTTTTTACCATCTTAGCTTAAGGTGACTTGTTTGCTGTAGCAATTATACATAGAAGTCACAAGAGGGCAGCATAAACTTAAACGAAGGCTGTACTGTCCCTGTTCTTTGCTACCGGTATATGTGAAATTGCTCTTCCATTAGGAAAGAAACTCCCAACATAATTTTATGTTCTCGTAAGTGGTGGCAGATCTGATAACAAAAGAAAACATGATGAAACAATTGGGTCGGTTTTGTCTTTTCTTATGCTTTGGGAGCTATTGTTTAACTGAAATACCAAAAAATTGTTTTTAATGGAAATACTAAAATGCTGTAGTTTTCACAGCACATAGCACAGTAAGATTCTGAGTCAACACTGCACTACAGAACAATTTCCTGATGCGAATAATTGCGATAGGAAATGTACATCTGCTATCATGAAAGTCAGATAATACTATTCTAGAAAAAGCAAAATGTATATATAAGAAAAAGAGACTTGAAACTATAATACTGGCGTTTTGAAAGAAAACAGAGCTGCCATTCATGGCTGTGACTTTCTAATATAAAAAATGCACTGTGGTAAGCTAAACATCAAATAGATAAACAAGGCTCCTTGGTACAGTTTAAAAAGAAAAGTAAACTTGCTGTTGTTTGTAGTATATCATTCACCTCTTGAATTTTGAGAGCATGATTTATGCGAGGAAGTTGGTTTTAAAAAAAAACCAAAAACCAAAACACAACACTAAAACCCCACACAAAAACTAAACATAAGATTTATCCTTGTAAGAATTTTCTGTGAAAATGTGGCTTTTGTCTGGTTGCTGCTAATGCAAGTTGTAACAGTGTAATGTGGGAGCCTAGTGTTTATATGTTGCATTCCTGAGATTTAGTCAAAATAAGCCTGCAGGGGCTACAGTAGCATTTCTGTGCTTTATCAGGCTGTGTCCTAGCAAATGGAGGGAGTTGTTAAAGGTTTGTTTCTGTCAGATTTGTTTCTATTATAAATATTCCCAAGGTTCGGTTTGACACCTTTTGTTTTTAGTCTGAGCTGTGTTGTACGTATTATTTCTTTTTTCCCTCCCCACATGTATGTATCTCGGCTACAAATTACATGCCTGGGGGTTATAGAACTGTCAGTCCTGCAGTTATTCATATTTAAAAAAAAAAAAAGCAAACCGTTAACCAACTAAAAAATCCCTTAGATATACAAACATTGTGAAGAAATTCTCGCTACTGAGATGAAGGGTTTTGGCAGACTGAATTAGAAAAGATGCCTTGAAATTTGTTCAGAATGAATGAGAGATTGAGCAGGTGTGAAGGAGGTTAGGTTCTGCTTTCTTAACTTTTCTATTAGACACTGACAATGCCCAGGAACCCTCTAGTTTGTAGAAGAAATTGTGAATAACGTGCTGCTGATACTATGAATTAGTGTCAGCTGGCATCTATTTTTCATCTAACAAAAAAACCCAAGCATATGCCCAAATTACAGGTACTCTCATTCTGTTCCCTGTGAATCTCCAGTAGATATTTCTTTATGGGCAGCATGTGGCTTTCTGCAGCACTTCCCAGGAGCTGCGTGCTAAACGAGGGGGTGATCATCCATTCACAGATGAATCAGATGCCCTAATGCTGGAAAAAATTATTTCCCACTGTGTTAAATTGTTTGTCAAACATAAAACCCAGACTAGCAGATTTTAATCTCTTTACCCCAGCCTGTTCTCTGGATACCTTCAGAAGCTGTATGTTTTTATTATAGGACAGGTAGGTGATGTCTAGGGTCTTTTGTGAGAAAGCATGTGTTGTACTGACTCTGCAATCCCTGGGGCTCACTGAGCAGCAGCCCCCATGTCTGCACTTTTTGGAAGTTTACAAGCATCTCTGTTAGAACTGGGAGATGGTGCCGGTCAGTTTAGGGTAAGGTGTAGGCCACAAGCTAGTGTTTCACTGACTGTGTTGCTCTGCTCTCTTAGCACAGTATGAAGAGCTTTCCAAGTATTGGACTTGTTTCTCTCTTGCAGTATGATGGAAGAATAACTTTCTTAGGGGTATGTGGCTGGTCAGTGGCAGGGCCAAAAAGAGAAGCCAAACTTGCCGTCTGCAGAGTTCCATCATGCCTCTGACATTTGTTTTTAGTTGCCATACATGTTCACACATCAACTATTTTAATTTTCTAAGGTTTTTGGTGTCCTTCTGTGAAACACATTCCTGTCTTTGTAAGCGTGTATGCCAGGAGTTTTGCTGGTAATGGGGTGGAGGGAGGATCATTGTTTTGTAAATTTTAGTTAAAATTGATGAATGATGCGTCCTTATAAAGAGACTGCAATGCACGCATCACTTTGTGTTAGCCTTCAGTTTGTGTGTGTTTTTCCATGGATTTAAGGGTTTATTTTGTGAAGCACCATACTAGCATATGCTACTTCGGCCAGGAATCAAGCAAAATATTAAATACGAAACGGTGTGGGATGTGTAGGCCATGGGTTGATATTTCAAATGTGTTCCTTCCTGTGATCTGACTATGAATTTTGACCTGTTCAGAACATGTTTTGTCAAAATAGTTCTGCTTTGTTCCTTAGAGTTTTTGAATTAATGGAGGCACAGCTGCTGAGGGAAAAGGTCTTTAATGGATTATTTCCATGCAACTGTTCTCTCTGCTGGCATTGTCATTTTTGTTCCTCAAAACAGTCAGACAAGATTGCATATGGGTAAAAGAATATGATAAGGTTCTGTGACTTATGCTTATAATGCTTATGCTTCCTTGCTTATCTTCCTAACTTTAAATAACCTATTTAAACTCTGTGATTATGTTAGTTTGTATTTTGAGTTTTTAAAGTAAATTTCTAGAATTTCTAGCTTTCCAAAATGCAATTAGCAAACTACTTCTTCCATACCCAAAAATCCAAAGGTTTTTTTTTTTTTAACTTTTGAATATGGTATGAGCTTAAAAAAAATGCCCAAAATAAACAGAAAAAATGTGCCAAATATTCAGGTGTGTTCTGAGTGTTGTGGTTTTGCGGTGGTGTTTTTTGATGAAAAATTCTTTATAAAACATGGGGATGAAAGTTCTTTATAAAGCATGTATTTCCATAGATGAAAATCATAGTCAGAAAGAGCCTAACATTCTACATTGTTCTCATAGCGACTAGAAATTTTGATCCCTAATGATGCTTTTTTTTTTCCCCCTAATTCAAAAACTTAACAGATGACTTTGTTTTAAGTGGAAATATTATGTGGAATACATCTCCAAACTGTGAGATTTTCACAAGTCTGCATTACACCTGAAGAGCAAAGGAATGTGAGTGCAGCCTGCCCAGCAGCGTCACTGACGGGCTGGCTGGACCCACTTTTACCTCCAGAACAGTGACTGAGCTCCTGCCTTTTGGGTACCCAGCAGCCGTAGGGAACTGAGGGCATGGCCAGAAGGGAGAGCGCTGCTGCAGTGTATAGGGCATCTGGGGACCGGCGTGGAAACTGCTGTGCTGGAGAGCTGGTACACCCCGTGAATTAAGTGTTGATGGACAACTTAGTGATATTCTTGGCTGAAATGGTGTGAAATATGGGGAGAGATGGGAGCTGGAGTTTTATTTAAGATCTAAAATTGATGTATTTGGTAAATACTAGTCTAGGTGAATCTATTAAATGGATTTTCTATAACTGCTTACACAAACTTTTAAAGACAGGAAGGGCAAATATTTGGCATTTGGATAAATAAGGTGAGCAAGCAGATGGTCATAAATCGATATGAAATTTAGCAATGAATAAAATCATATATTGGGAACTGTAATCTACTTGATAGGAAGATGATGAATTTCAAACGTGCTTAACTTCTGATTGTGTTAAGTTTTCTTAAAAATAATTAAATATATATATTTAGTAATTAAGAGACCTCTAGATATTTTGAGATGTACTTGAGTTCCCGCGTGACTGCGGCATGTCCGTAAGTTTGTGTGTTGCCTGCTGTCTGCCGAGGGGCCCTGCAAAGATGAGGCATCAGTACAATAGGCACGGTGGGGAAGAGCTGTCAGCGTCCACTCCAGATGTTTCCAGTGGAGGTACATCATAGAACACAACTGAAATATTGGTGATGCCTCTTAACCTTGCTAGTTTCTCTTGAGGTTTTTCGTGGCTTTCTTCATTTTGTCTTTCAGAGTATGTGTTTAAATGTCTCTTTACAATATAAAAACAATTCCTTATGTCTTATAAGCCTGTTCTTTTTTTATTCTGTTAATAAAATAAGCCCACACGTTATAGTGTTTTCTTTGTTGGAGTTGACAAGCCACGCTCTTTCTTCCCATCTAACATCATCAGATCCACTCATCAAATCTGCAATTTTGTAACTATACATACTTCAGAAAATAATTTTTTGGTTGTGCAGAAATAGGCACAAGCTCATTCTACTGCTTTATTCTTGTTTTCTTTTTATACAACAGGTTGGTTGTTGGAGCCAGCTGTATCCTTTGAAAAAGCTGTGATGATTTATGATTATAAGCAGCATGGCTGTCTTCTATGAAAGCTCAATTTTCCGAATTCGTTTTTTCATGCCCTGTACTTGAGTTGGTAATGGAATAGTAATAGTTTTCTATGCAGTATCATCATGGGAATTAAGGTCAGCTAAGGATAAATCCTCAGGATCTTAAAACCAAATGTTATCTATGAGGAAAATATTCTAAGGCTTTGGAGTTTTATTCTACACAACAAAAGTGAGCTAAAGATGTTGTCTGTGTGAGGACAACTTGGTATCTTCAGCTAAAAGGCCCATTTGTACACTACCCTTTTATATTGCATTTATATGAAATTATTGCTTCTGTTTCCTTAACTGATGCTTCACAAGATGTTTCACTTGAGTGTGCTGGTTTTCTAACAGGCATTGGATTGGACACTACAGTCATGATGAGAAGTATCCCACTTCGTGGGTTTGATCAGGTGAGTACGGGATGTCTTACATCTCCTTATATATCAAATATATTAAAAAGTATATTTGATTATTTTTGTGTCCTAAAGAAAAAGTGTTGTCAGCTTCTCCAAACATTTCCTAGTATGTGCTTTCTGAAGAGAAACTAAATAAATATTAGCTCTTTTTTTCCTATTGTATCTCTTGATACTGTACTCAGAAAAGTAAATCTGTTTTTTTCCTCCTGCTTAATCAAAAACAAGGTTGAAAAGGTTGGGAAGCAGGGGAGGGATTTAAGCCACTGCTAAAAGCATTAGATAATCTCTTTAAAATAATCCTGAATTTCTAGGAGTTACAGGTAATGATTTTTAAAATAAATTATTGGACTTACCATGAAGTAGTTGAATGTGGAGTTCATTATGATGAATATAAATAAATCACTGAGCTGAAAGTTTGTAATGACATAGGAATTGGAAATCTTGACCTTACCACTTTCAGAACAGTGGCAGTTATAATTAGGTGAAAAAAAGTACATAGTGATTTCAGTGGAACTATCAACCCTAAGCTGGAGAAAATTAAAAGCAAAAACTTTCAGGCAGGGAAATTTAAAGAGAAAAAACTGTGTTTCAAAATTGGGAAAGATTTTGAGGAGTTTTATTTAAAAGTATAAGTGGTCATGATTGTGCTGACAAAACAGAAAACAGTTTTGTCCAGAAACCCATTCCCGTATAAAGAGAATAAAAGCAATTAGAAATTACAATGAGAAAAGACAACAACAACAACAAAAAAGTTTTATATAGGATTTGTGCAAAAACTATAACTGCTTAAAGAAGCAACAGAAGGTAGTGTAGCAGGCTTAGGTTAAAGACAAGTTGCTGGATCCAGTAAAGGTGTTACTTGATGTGAGTTTGTAGCCTCTGTTCTACAGGTTAGATGATCTCTCTGATGGCCTGATAGTCCTTTTGGATCTCCCTAGATCTGTAGAGAGCGTATGATAAAGGTGATTGTGAATCTTCTGTTCCTGCAAGATTTGATGCTAACACTACTTTGAAAGAAAAGTTACTGTAGTGTTCTTAAAATAGTGAGAGTGTTCTGGGTTTTCACTCACATGTGCAGTGAACTTTTTCTTCGAAGTTTCCAACAAATTTTTTCTCAGGCAGATAACTTTGGAAAATGTCAGCCTTAGGAATTAAGACTGTGTTCTGTTAATCACTTGAAAATAGAGTTTTCAGAATGGGAATGAATACACGTTGACTTAATTATTCCTGGTATCATGAATTAGGAATTTTTTTAGTGCTTAATTGCAATAGAGCAAAACATTTACAGGCCAAAGTTGATGAAAGAGTGCTAGAACTGTAGGCTTGTTTTTAAGAACTTCTTTGCAAGGAAAATTATTTACATGTGTACCAGCATGGTTTTTGAGGAGGGAGTATTGCTGTTAGAAGCTGCAGTGACAAGTACCACTGCAGGTAATGACAGCTCCTGGTTGCGTGCCAGCCACTCCCACTTTGAAGTGGCTTCCTTAAGACTAGTGGTATGTGTACCAGAGTTTGCAAAACATTGTATAAGAATGTGTCTTGGGATTTGCACTCACCATTGAAGACATCTACACCTGTAACAGCATGAGATCGGAGCAAACAGGGAATAGTGTTAAGAGTGTGCGTGTGGCACTTCATAAACTACTTACAGGAGGGCTTTCTCTGCGAACTCGATCCTTTGTAGGCAGGAAGAGCACAATGGACATTTCAAAGTTACGAAAGTATTAATAGAGAGAGAATAATTATGTTCAGTCTGTAGCTGCATTGAGTCTGATGGAAACTGGTTAGCGAGCTATCATGTTTCTGAAGAGATAGAACCCTGCTGTTGCCTTCATATTAGTTAATATCAACTTCGAAAATAAAGTTTTGTAAGCTGAGAGCTTGCATGTTGTTGTTCTATGTGAGTAGTTTTGTGATAATATACTTTAAGTAATAAACATATTCTTTGACAAAGTGCAACCAGAATTACTGCAATCAAGAGCAATGACATCTTTGGATAAACCTGTCAATGTGACATTTTACTACTTGATTGTGGTGTGGCATTATTTCAAACAGGCTCTTAGGAAAAAACCATTATTTCCTCTTTGTAGCAGAACTTTCCAGGAAACCTTAGTGATTCATATTCATTGCAGAGAAATGTCAGGTGTCATGGCAAAGGGAAATATGTTTCTTCTTCTTTATGAAAGTATTTAATTCTCATCAAGCTGCCAGAAAATGGTAATTATGCTAACCTTAAATTGAATGTGCTCTACATGCTATTTTTGTACAAGCATCAAATAATTTAAAAGCAACTGTTTCACTCATATACTATTTTACTTTTTTGAAAATAAAATTTGAATGTTCAGATGTAGATGCCTCTTAAAATGGAGTTGCGGGTCATAGTGGCTCAAAAAATTATCATGTGTTGACAATGCATAGTAACTAAGTGACAAAGAATGTTCAAAATGCATAGTGTATTTACTGGGTTTTCATGAAGACAGCTGAAGGAGGGCTTTACATTAAAAAGGTCATATATCTAAGAATAAACAATTTTTTTTCCGCTACTCAACAGCAAATGGCATCTTTAGTAACGGAGTACATGGAATCTTACGGCACAAAATTTTTAAAGAGATGTTTCCCAAACAAAGTTGAAAAATTGGAGAGCAACAGACTGCAAGTCACCTGGAAAAATACTGACCTGGGCACAGAAGAAACCGATTCCTTTGACACAGTGATGTGGGCAGTAGGTAAACTTGATTATCTTAATGTTTATTTGCAATGCTTTCCATTCTGAAAATGAAGTCACCTCATCATATTGCAAGGGGCCAAACAGCCTCCTCCATTTTTTTTTTTATATTTAAATATTTAGTGACCTAAACATTGATAGTTTTTAAATTATTTTCTTGCACACCTGACTTGTTCACCTAAAGTCTAAAACCACATGAAAGTTACAGTGAATGGAAGAAATCCATGGTAACTACTTTTGCATGAGCTGCAATAAATAGGAGACCATTTAGTCTTCCTCACATTTACTAGAGGGTGAGAGCATGAATACCAGCAACCTCTGTGGTGCAAGTAGTGTTCTCTAAATCCATACTCTTGACTTACTCATGAAGCTATTCACTACAAGTTCCTATTTATCCTGTTCAAGAGGCTACTTTTCTAAATTCTTCTAGGAATTTTTCTAAACTGTGCTGCTTAAGTTTGTTACTGCAGCCATCATCCAGTTCAGAGAAAGAGAATTAATTGTCTATAAAAATCCAAGCTTATTGCAGGGAACCTTGGAATGTTAGAGCTTTTTGAAATCTGTTTAGGAACTTTCACGCATCTCAGACCCCTCAGAACTGAGATATGACGCCTAAGTCAGAGTAAATCAGTTTAAAAGAATTTCCTGACAAATGGTTATGAGGATAATCACCAGAAATGGGAATTAAATCTAGTTTTTGCCTCCTTTGAGTCAAATGCTACTTCTTGTAAGGATTAACACGCTAAACGATGTATGGTACAAGGCTCCGGCCCACAGGAACAAAAATACTGTTTCTGCGTGGCCTTCCCAAGCTGCTCATTCGTTGCTCTTATGAGTTGGCCCTCAGTTGCTGTGTTGGTTCAGAGGATCTGCATGCCCACCAGAATAGGAGACCTCTTGTCTTCCGTGCTTATAAAGCTTTGTGAATAGCTGGAATTCTAGATAAATAATGGATGGCTAAGGGTAATGATATTTGGCAAGCAGATGGTACTGGCGAACAAAGTAAATAGGCTTAAACTTACTGCCCAAGAAATCTGTTTTGATGCAGGCGAATGATCAGTTTTACTTGCAGCTTTAGCAATTCCTTTAACTACTTCATTTTTATCCTATTCGTTTTATCTGACACTACTGTTTTAGAGTAGTGGGGAAGCATTACTCCTTCATGTGTTGATAGCAGATAAAGTTAAATTCTTGTGGCCATAGAATGGATCCATTACAGGAAACAGGAACAGATCATTTACACTATTTCGTATTTCACCCAGTCAACTAAATCTGTTGTCTTGTTCCTTTCCTCTGGTTAAGTCAGCTGTATATCTATCTTCCTAATACCCCAAACAGAGAGCAGGTTGTGTGTTGTGACAAACATTTTCTTTCGCTTTCTGTGATTACTATTCTCGTAGAAGTGTAATGGGCTTCTATAAATTGTGGAAACAGCCTATAATAATGGATTATGCTTGCCAGAACCAAAGACACTAGTGCTTGCCAAGAGCAAAAAAGGTTGGGCTATCTGGAGATGTGACAATCCTGAAAACTGCAGAATAATATTCATGAGGTGAGATGAAAATGTTTCCAAAAAGTGGGTTTCTAAATGCTGTATTTGATTTTTCTCAAGCTTTCTGGTAAAAGTACACTGCGGTGGAGTCACACCTGCGAAATGTCAAGTCAATTTGTTTACTTTTGTCAGAGATGGGAAAAAGACCTATTAATTTGAAATAATACCAAAAAAAGCTTGGTTTAGTGTTGATTAAAATGGAATAAGGTTGCATGATATACTATTGCAACTCAGTTGTAATGTGACTCCATTCACTGTTTTGATACAGAGGAGCTACATGGATTATAATTTTTGTCATAGATTTGAGTTACAATCCATACTTAGAAACTGCAAAATGAACAGTTTGAGGATTTGGGGGTTTTGTGTTCACCTTTTTTTTTAGCGTTCCAATTGGCACTCCACCCTTAAGGATTAAACACATTAACAGTTAAAGCTGGTTAATTGGTGCGCAGTCGGTATGATTCATTGTTTTGCTCTGTATCAACACACCCACACCAGGTGTCTCAGATAATAGGCTGGGAAACTTGGTAGTGTTGAGGATTTCCTGTCTGCAGATGTGCCAGTTACAATACTGATTGAAGAAAGTCAGCTTGTAGAGTTAGTTAAAAAGCAGCCGCTGTTGTTAACTAGTTGTAGCCTGAATATAGTAAATATTTCTTTAATTTTTGTAAGAGCATTGGGGAATTTTAGTAGGATTTAGTAGGATATAGTAGGAATAATGTTAAAAGTATTTACTGACAGTGGGACATAGTTTGCTTGGTAAGCCACGGTATTATCTCTTAATGTAGGCCCTTTGGAAAAATTTGCATTGTGTTTCTATGAAGAGTTTTGTTTATCTTTTGGAATGTGTAATTTTCTGCTTGTATGGATAAGCCAGTAAAAGCAGGCGCAATGCTCTCTTTGCTTTTCTAGCAGCTTTTTTGAACCATTGAAAATATTTGAGGCAAAACAAAATCTCATTTTGATACCTTTTAATGCAATTTAAAGGTTTTGATCCAAAGCTTTTGTAGGTAACTGTTACGGGCCTGTGTTACCTTGCTGAGTGACTATAGTGTTGTATTCTAGAGCAGTGAAACAGCTTTTTCTTGACCTTTACTTGATTCTGCCTGTCTAGTCATGTAATGTCCTCCTGTCTTTTACTAGTGCTTCACCTTCTCCTTTTGTGAGAATTCTCCTGAAATTATAAGCTTTTGAGATTTTTTTTTTCATTCAAAATGGAACCACTAAACTTTTAATAATATATAGTATTCCCCCTGCCCTTAAGGACACAAAAAATTTTATATGGTAGTAGCCTAATATACCTGAGCTACAAAGCAATGGTAAGTCTGTGCATGTACAGATTGAACACAGGGTCTTCATGCAAAGAAAAGGATAGAGATTGACGCATTTATAAAGAAATGCAACTGCTGAGCTGCAAGGCAAAGTTGCAGGAGATCAAGCTTTGTAGAGTGGGTTTGTTTCAGCTATTGGAGGACTGAAACCTATGGACTGAATGCTGCAGTTGCAACACAGATAATATATAAAAGGAATTGGTGAGTAGTATTTCCATTTGAATTTGCAATAGATGGCAGAAGATCACTGCTGTAACTGGAATCTGATTATCCACAAAGTCCTTAAAAAAGGTACTGGTACATATCTAACGGGGTCTTACTGTAGAGGAGCAACACTGAATTGATGATTCAACTAAGCAAGTGTTTACAAAATATCCTGGAATTAGTTTGACAGAAAAAGTGAGGTAGTGTGCTAGTAAATTCTTAACAGAAAGAGCAAGGACCAGCAGCAGATTTTAAGTTTAGCTTTACAAAAAGAGTTTTCTCCCTGATGAGAGCAGTGGAACAACCATTCTCAAGTTCCTTTCCATTCATGAGCTTAGAGGAAAGCCACTGCATCCTTGAAATAATGTCATCTTTGCTATGAAAAGGAGTTATAACTTTGGCTCAGTGTAAAGCTGAACAGGTATCAGGTGTTGCTCATCATGTGCTATCAAGCATATTGTCCTTTGTGTCAGACTGGATGCTTGGCAGATTTACTTTGTAGTGCAGTAGATCCTTGCTGTTCAATATCAAGAAAGGGTTAAGTAACATTTTTTTATAGTAGTTTTCTCCAAGTGTTACAGCCAAATCAGTTTCGATTAACTAAGAAAACAGAAATTTTGTTTGGAGATTTTCTTTGAAAAGTCCCATATGGTAAAATACTGCTGTGATCTCCTGTGAGCATATCTCTACCAGCCCCTATAGAAAAGGGGATGGGCTTTAGATTCATCTTGCCATCCAGTTTTTAACCTTTGAACTATTCATGAAAAATAATGCACCTTGGTTGATCTCAGAAAACTGTTAGTGCTAATGTGATATGGTTTGCTGAGGCTCTGGGTCTTTGTTCTGAACTTCCCGTGTGTGTGTGTGTCATTAATTTTAATTCATTACGGTCTTGGTAAGATGTGGTTTCTGCAGTCCTGATGAAAATTGTCATTCCCATTACATCAGCCAGTGCTTTTAGGTTTTTTCCCAATACCTAGTTTTAATGACATTCAGTCAGACTTTATTCAACAGGGCTATTCTTAATATGCTAGTAATTTGTTTGCATTGAAAGCGGCCTGGATGGTACTTTTTCCTAATTTTGTTTAACCTACCTATAAACTTTGAGTGTAACTCTTATTTTATGCTACCTATTTTACCAGCTTGTAACTACAAAAATCACTTCTTCATGTTCAGGAAAAGTTAGATGCTAGGCAATGCCTCTAATCTGCATGTGAGAGAACGTTTTGGGTTCAGAACTGTAAAGTGCTATTTGAGTTGCTAGGTGATGGCTAGCCTTTACTTGAATGATGGTATAAATAAATTAAAAAATGGTGGAAAATGCTCCAAAGTAATTTCATGAAACCAGCATAATTACCTTGATGTTTTCTACAGAATACAGGTTCTGCTCACCCATAAATGTCTAGGAGATTGAAGCCAATGACCTTACTTGGGAATGGTGCTTGGGTACTCATTTTTGAGACTGCAGAGCCATCCTTTAAGGGTGTACAAACCTTTGGTTAAAGCAAGCTTAGTGTGGCAGAATTAATGTAAGGGTGAACTGTAGCTTTCTTCTCAGAAAATGTTTCCAGCCCACTTTACCTTGTACAGGACCTTGAGAACAAAACAAATAGAACTGTTAGAAGTCTGTCCCGTGCTGTATGGTTTTCATTTGGTCGCATGTCACTCAGAGTTACTTTTTTTGTTGTTGTTCTTGTTTGGGTAGAACCAGTGACATGTCTGCAGCCACAAGTAACTGCAGCTGTGCAGTGGATGGTGATGCCCAGGTGTTTACTGATGGCACCGTGGCTGCCACCAGCTTTCTGCTGAGATGACTCTTTTGTGTAATAAGTATTGCTAGCCAATGCTACAAGAAATAGTACAGCTTAGCAGACTTGGCAAAGAACCACTTACTGCCCTAGCACTGACTAAGGGTCAGATTTTTTTTTCAAATTGTGGCAGGCACGCAGCAAGTTTATCAGTAATGAATGAAATGTGCAAAAACTTCCTTATAAAACTGGTGCGTGCCGCTATCGATGTGGTAAGGGTTCTGAACTTTTTTTAACCTTAGTTAATCTTACTGTAGTCAGTATTTTCTTGTAATCTGAACATTAGTTACACTGAATTGGTCTTTATTAGTCATTATCAGCTGGCTAGGTTTTAGTGAACACCTTGTGGGTTTTGAGGAGGGATTTGAAGGAGGAAGGGGTCGTGGTCTTGCAACTGATTTGGGGAGTGTGTGAGGCACCCAGAACAAGATGAGAGAGAGTTCCAAGACTGGGAACACAGATGAGATTTTGATTAAGGTCAAAATGAGGTCAGATCGGGTAAAGTTATGAAGTGATGTGTCAAAATGCCAGTGCATAGGGAAGAAGCGGAGAAGACTATTGGGCTTAAGTTTTATGCCAGAAGAACCATCCTGTCGCCCTGCAGTATCCTCACAGTGGCCATCTGCAGTGTCATGCCTGATAATAAAGTGCTTGGTTGGCTCTAGTTTGGATTTTTCAAATGCTGGGGGACAAACAGACATTCCAGCTTCTGTGATTAAGAAACTGCAGAAGACCCATTATAAAATTCTGTGGTCAGCTGCACCTTTATCACCCTGGGAAATCTTACTGTATGCAAGAGTCACTCATTTACTGCTGCTACCTACTTGACTGTGCTTATTCCTATGGTTTCTTCTCAGCTTAGCTGCTTCAGTCCCCACTGCTGAAGGTCCCGCACCTGCAGGTCACAGCAGCCTGATACTGCCTTCACCTTGGCCGGTGTGCACGTGCGATTACCAGAGCCCCTCAGCAGGCGATGGGACAGAAGTGCCACATCACCACGTAACAAGCCTGGCACGCACCCGAGATGGGCGCTTTAACCAGTCTTTGGGCACTCTCTCTAGCTAAGCTGGCTGGCAGCCCCCTTAGGAAGCCACACTATTAGATTTTACAAAAACAGATCAAAAAGCTGTTTTTTCTTTTAAAGTTAAAAGCGAATGGGGGCAGACCCCAAAAGCAGGGATCTGTGGTTTTCATAGCTGTGTGGTTATCGTATGGGTCTATTAAAGATAAGATTATGATGTGGTATTAAAAGTGCAGGAGGCAGGTAACCTTTTTAAGGGTCAGATTTGTATTGGCACCTTTCTTCTAGATGTCTGGCATAATATCTTGCTGTTTTGAATAAAAGCTAAATCTAGTCTTGTGTCATACAATCATACTCTCCCTGTTCTGTGGCAGTTTCGGGGCAGTAGACATCTTCAAACTAAAAGCACGTGTGCTGGCTTTAGGGGGAGGGGGGCAGGGAGGCATCTCTGTGTTGCATGCCTGGTGGGATTTGGTATAGTCTTGTATTGCCCTCTGCATCTTGGAAATAAGCTGTAAACTCATACTTTCTTGAAGCTGTAAACGTAAAAAACTTAGGGGTTATGGGTATGAAACAAATGTCCTTCTGATCCAATACTGCTGAGAAATGGTGAGAACTGATTCTGTAATACAAGTAAGCGAATGTTGGGAAATATCAGAATTTCCTGAATTTGACATTAAAACTTAGCAAGACACATTGGATAATCATGAACCTAAGCTACTGAATTTGATGTGAAGCAAGATCAGTAAGTGTAATTCTGACGTATGGAGGTGAGCCAGCATGGGGCTAAAGGCCAATAAAGCTTCAGTTCAGTTTTTTAAAGTTCTGTTCTTGCTTTCAGAAATAATATTTAGGCAGTAAAGTTGAGAAAGAAATTTCACTATGAGTAGCAACACTTTTTTGGTAACTCTTAGCTATTAATACAAGCTGTACACATGTTAAAATAGACTGGAATCAAAAGGTTAAGTGTTATCCTGCAGATTTGATAAACTCAGCTGTTGTTGTCACAGGTCTTTAAATGACTCTATTGACAGTTTTTCTTTTTTTCCTTTTTCAGTGCCTGCCATTGCGTGCTAAGCTTTCTCTTGGCTCTGCCTGGCAGGAAAAAGGGGAAACTAGAAAACCCCATTAGTTGGCCATTTGCAGAATACCCAGGCTTTACTCTCAATACACAAAGAAATACAACGGTAGGAAGTTGTTTCACATCCGAGCCAAGATAAGGTCCTGGAGGTTTATTATTTTTGTTGCCTGATAGCATCAGGACTGGGGAGCAGGGGGCAGAGAAGGAACAGCAGATCAACATCCCATGGGGACAACAGAAGGGAAGACAGACAGATAGCCAAGTGCCGACAGCTTCAGTCAGTACTCCCAGAGGAAGTGTTGGTTTCACCAGATGAAATTAATACACAGAAGTCTTTACAGAGGCATTCAGATGTGACATTGTTTGGGGGGCCTGGCTATATGGCAGATGTATGAAGCAGTGAATCATATGTTTACATATAATTAGGTCTGTATTGACAAGCCAGGCTTTCCTTTTGTTTAATAATTTCCTACATTAACATCAAAGAGCTTGTTTTTATAATGAAAACACATTTCCCTTTTTGTTTTGCTTTGCGATAGCTCTGTATTAACATCAAACACAAAATCATGACTCACGCAAAGGAGACCCATATATGTAGATATATCCATATTCACTTACAGCCTCTAAAAACAGATGCAATGTCAGAAAATTTCCTTCATTTGGATATATTCAGGTAATCTTTTCTATGTGATCCTGTGTGTGCCTACAAATTTTGGGAGTACCTGATAATTTCATTATGCTTATTAACCTTCAAATACATTTGAAAAATTAGATAGGATTTAAGATTCCAATTTCTAGGTCAGGAATTGCTTTGTCAGACACTCTACAGAAAGCTTAGTGTAATGTTATCAAGACTTCAGTGGTCTAAGTGGTAACTCTATGCAGAAAACACTACGAAAATATTTTTTTAAAGATGAGATAATTTAAAATCATTGGAAGAGGAAGCTGTAATAAAATCTAGGCTGGTAGAATTTGCCTCATTTGTTTTTAAATCCACTTAAAGTAGTGTTTCTACACTTTAGGAATAGTGTTTCTAAGCTCTAGAGAAATAGGTCAAATACAGAGTTTGAGCTAAATAACTCAGCATTAGTGACTTGAGAGCAAAGTTGATAAACTTTTTCATCCAAGCTGAGGGAACTAAAAAAGTTTTAAGATAAGTGTATCAGATAACAAGAAAAGAGGACTTTGGGAATGTTTAACGTTAAATGGCATTATTAATAATTTTTATCCACAAGTGTGCACAACGGGCTGTTTGTTAATATTGAGTGCCATTTGGTTAATGTTTAGTGGAAACTTCCAGTGTAGAAGTTGCTTAGTTATTATATGTATATTCACGCTACAATAGGAAACTGAATTTAGAATGTGCAATAAATATTAAACCATGTGGGGTTTGCACTTTTTGCAGTGGATGTTGTCCTGCACATTTTTAAAGGATAACTTTCTCTGAAATAGTCTGAGTAAAGGCAATAGTAATAGAGCTCCTTTCACAAAGAAATTCACATCCATACTTTCCACCCTAACAGCTTTTTCAGTGTGAGGTAACTCTTGTCATGTTTCTACTTGGACTATCAAATAGCACAAAATTCTTGGAAACCTACAGTGGTCAGTGCCAGCTTTTTAGATTAACACTGCTGAAGTTTTCCAATAGTTTTCACTTTAATTTATTTTTTTTTCCTTAAGGCCGAGCCCCTGACACAGAAGCTCTCAATTTGGAGGCAGTTGGAGTGAAAACTAATTCTGAAACTGGAAAGATCATTGTTGATGCCAGTGAAGCTACTTCTGTTCCTCACATTTATGCAGTTGGAGACATAACAGAGGTACTGAGTCTACATAAACTTTTACAATAACAGGAAGCCAACTTTGTTCCTGACTAATAACTAGTCCCCAGATGTCGTCATGCTCTAGCATATATCTTAGTGTTTTGCTCTTTTTCATTTTGCAGAGCTGTAGTGTTTATGCCAGCCACCTGGGTCACTAATTTCCTACACATGGATCTTGTGAAGTATCTCAGCATTAGAGATTATTACTGATGTTTATCAGTGCATCATTGGTCAGAGGCTAGTAGTAATGTTTTTATCACTTCAATTATCTTTCTAATAATGTTTTTATCACTCAGACATATGACTTCATACTGCCTGTGAGTGCTGAGTGAAAGCAGTTCTTACCTTCTGGAGTTGAACACACTTACTGGGAATGACCGTGACAAGTTCTGTAATTCCATTTTTAGTATTTTGGGGTTTAATTGAGACTAGTCACAAGGCAGCATTTCTGCTTCCTGACACAAAATGCTTCTGACAAAAGTATCTCCCTCTAGAATAAGAAAAAGTAATTGCTGCAAATACTAAATGCATTTGGCTTCTGTTCATGATTTGTGAATGATTATGTCAAGTAAACATGAGGTGCATTGTGTTTTGGTTTGGTGTTTTTTTTTTTTTTTTTTTAAAGGAGGGGACATTATAACTTAAGCAAAATAATTTACTTATTATAGATGCAAACCCAGAATTCTGTGGCCTTAATCTAGTGCTATTGGTAATCTACAGTTATCTGTGACAAGAATATCTTGTCCTGATGGAAGTGCACTCAAATACTTTCAATCCCTCAATTTTCAGTTTATAGAAGAACTCAGTATCTATTGTAAGTTGGGCATCTTCAAATATGTTGTCTTCGTAAAAAACAATGTTTGTCTGGAGCCTGAACTGTACAGTTACAGGAGGATGTTTTCATCAGCTGCCTGCTGTTCCTGAAAAATTAGGGCAATATGTAGAATATAGAGGCTGAGCATTGCAAGATACAGAATTCTCTCACCTGTTGTTGAACTTAATGGAATGGAGCACATGCCTTCCTATCAAGATTGTTTTTGGTATAGTGAAGGCATCTGTTTTAAAGGTCTGGTAAATCTAAATACTGTAGCAATATCCAAAAACCATATATAGTATAATTTGAGAGACCTTTGAAAGATTTCTTATTCTGCCATGTTTAAAATCTTTTAAAGGTCTTTCAAATTTATAAACCCTACAGGTGCTCTGAGTTTTTGAAGAGATGTAACAGGTTACATAATGTCTTGGGAATAGCCCTGCAAATTTCGACTGGACTCTGGAACTGCCAGAGACACTTGAATCTCATAAATCTACTGACCAGTCCTGACCTCTTCCCCTCTATGTAGACATGTGTTTCTTCCTGTCTGTCTCCATCTTCAGGCGAATGACTTGCCATTTCCTTTTAAACTGTGTTAAAACTCTTTCCTGCTCAGCTATTTCTCCTATTTTTTTTTCGTTACTCTCCACAGCTTCTCTGTCCTGTCCAGTCACTCAGAGCGTTGGGATTATGTACAGTTCCTCTCCTTTCTTCTCACTTCACGTACGGGTTCCCTCTGTACTTGTCATTTCTTGTTCTGGGATATTTCCTGAAGTCCTCCTGATCACAATGACCTCCTACACCTGCTTGTCCCTGATACATGCCTTGGTTGGGCCTCCTGCTTTCCAAACTTTTCTTTTTGATTTCATCCAAGAAGCAGTTGTTAGAGGCAATGCTGGCAGGGCCTTAGATTCTGTTGCTCATTTTGCTGCCAATCTGCAGTGTTATTTTGGGCAAGTCATTTCCTTTTGGGTGCTTTTTGTCTTCTGCCCTTTGCGGATTTAGTTAAGTAAGAAATAAAAGTTGGAGGCAGGATGCTCTCCTCTTTCCTACTCTGGATCTGAAAAATCAGGTCTTCATTTATTTGTCATTTTCATTTTGTTGTTAAAACTTGGATTTCCTTTTCCTGCTTTTGTCCTTGTTAGTGCAGATTTTTGAACTTGAGTTGTTCAATAGGCACTTGTAAAGGTAAGTGTTAAAAACAGCAGCGCGGTTTTATACCGTGTCCAGTGTATAACTGGGGAAAAACTGAAGAGTTAAATCAGTGCTCTGCAGAAATATCCTCTAAAGCTTTTATCTGTGTATGGGCTCAATATAGGGAATTAAAGAAATCACAGCATTGTACTCATGCATTTATACAGTTAGATAGAAGGAAGACAGAAGGAATTATTGCCATTATCTTTTCTGACTCCAGTACAATGTGAGCCATGTAATTCCACTTGCTAAGCAATAAAGTTTATTTTCTTTGAATACTTAAATTAATTTTGTCTTTTTTTTTAAAGCAGAATTAATTTAGATAGTAAATTTCATTGGCATGGGAACCAGCAGTGAAAGAAAGTTCTGTGTTGGTGCACATCTCAAAGAATACACACAGAAGAATCAAGTGCATCCTGCTAAGAACGGCAAAGCTGTAGAGCTTGGTGTGTGATACTTTCTGGGTGAGACCTACCAAAAGAGCACAGGAAGGGGAATCTTGTTTCCTGTGAATGAGCATCAGTGATCCCTAATATTGCTTGTAAGAATAAGACTTTTTTTTCTCCAGTGTTCCTGCTCAGGATTTCTCTTTGCTCTGCTCTCTCCCTGTCAGAGTCTCTTTACTACCATAAAGTGCTATTGCTCATACCTTTGCAAGTACTTCTCAAGCCCTCCTGCTCCCTCCTTTACCACACCACGCTGAATAGACACTAAATTGCTACCCAGTAGCCAGAACTACTTTTTTTTTGTTTTAATTCAGTGCCCTGGCTCGAAGGGGAGTGAGAGAGGGAAAGGCGAGTTTCCTGATATGCTCAGAATGACTGTTTTCGTTTGGGAGTCATACCCAGCTGGCACAAATGGGAAACTATGTGCACATGGGTGTCTTGTTGCACCCTTGTATGGCAAATGGAATCCTAATGTTATCCAAGCTGTTCATTGGGAGAAAAGGGGAAAAAGAACCCTTCAAGAGGTCAGTCGGTTTGTCTACCCCCACAAAAAGCTTTTCAAGCTTTGGCAAAATACTATTTTCAACTGACAAATTAAATTGCATTTAGGCATTTTCATCTTCTGTAATCAGGGTGAGGAAGATCAAGCTGGAATTTCAGTTTGATTTTTTTTTTTCAGTGCTGATATAAATTCTCAGTGTTAACATTCTTCCTCCGGTAGTATTCTTGTTGAAAAGCATGGCACACACTCTAAAGAAGTGCTTTTGGAAGGAGGTTTATCATATGGTCATGCCGCTATACATCTGTCATATTTCAAAGGGTATTATAACAAAGATGTGTAGAGAAGGTGGAATGTACAGTATGTTGCTTTGAATAGAAATAAGACCAAAAAGAGTTGTGTTAGAACAAATACACATTACTTCAAAGCTTTTTAAACTCTCTTAGGAGCTATCTCATTTAAATGCATAATACATTGGAGAATTCTTATGAACAATTTGTATCCATAATAATCAGCAGAGTAGTTGTACACATGACTGCAAAGTGAATGTTCATTTCAAATATTTACCAAGGAAGGTCTTCAAGTCATTGTTTATGAGAAATTGGGCTTTATCTGCATGGATGTTTTAGTAATTAGTTGGGTTTTATGGAATGCATGGCAGTGCTTTCACAATTTTATCTCTCGTTCCAATCTTCTATTCATTTCTGGAATGCCAAAACAACATCTGTATTTCCTGCTACAGAAATGATTGGCAGCCATGTTTCAGGCAAATGTGTATAAGAAAAAACAAATGGCAAATTTCATCTGGTAAATGACATTTACAGACTTGAAAGTCAAAATGTTGGATTTGAAAAACCATGACTTGATGGATCTTAGGGGGGAAAAAAGGGGCAGACTTGCAGTTCTGTGACTTGTCATGAGCTGTGGGAAAAAATAAGTTAGTCTTCATTAACAATTAGAATTGTAGTTTCTGTTATCAAGTTAGACATAATGTTGTTTCAGGTTTTTTGCAATGGAAGTTTTAACTTAAGTGGTTATTAGTACAGATAAATGTATAAATACATATTAATATGCAGATAATTGATACGATATGTGTACTGAAGTAAATGGTAGCTAATACCATGTACAGAATCTATCTAGCAACATACAGAAAAGATAAGCTGGGAAAGAGGAATGGATTCCAGTAAATTGTAAAAAACTTTAGGATAATGGAAAAAAAGTTTGGAAAGCTTGAATGTGTGTGGTGGGGAATCCTGATTTCATTTTCTGCTGAAGAATGTTTTTGAGGGCTGGTTGGATGGCTACCTCCAAGCTGAGCTTTGGAGGGGTGTGACAAGTGTTGTATCTAGATAGGACCTGTATGAATCAAAACTTCACATATTTTATAAAGCATTCCATGTTGTCCCACAAAGTTGTTTTTCAGTTATGGCTTTCTTATGTCTCCACATCATTTCTTCTAGATTTGTGACCCCTTTCCTCATCTCACACAAGCATCTTGATGATATGTCTTGGATGAACTCTTAAATAATGCTTTTTACTAGATTTATGAAGTTTGTTAGATCTTATTAACTTACATGAACTGTTCTTCCTTGGACTTCAAAAAGTTCCTCTGAAAGTGACTTACTTCAATTTGCGAAAACTTCCAGCTTCCTTAAATCTAGCACTGGAGTTCTGATGCTCCAGTGCTATTGTGCCAGCACTCAAAATTTGGGTTCTGGCACACCGCACAGTCCTGTTTGGATATAAAAAGTAGCCAGGACTCATGGCTTGAACTGGAGCATGTCCTGGTCATATCCTGCTATCATTCCATTTCTCACTCGCAGGAAGCTAGCCTTTGCCAATAGCAATCCTTTTCAAGCCCCCTCTAATACCAGAGCCTGAGTCTAGGACCAACTCAACCTGTAGGCTGCAGTGCTAGCAAAATCATGTTCCACTTCTCCGAGCCAGGACCAGCATAGCTGTTTGTAGGCACTGTTACTGACTTCCTAAGTTCCGTGCCTGTGTTCTGTAAAAATGTGACGGACAACTCTTTTTTTTAAAAGGTCTGATGTTATAAAAACATTGTTGCTTTATACCAGGCCTTTCCTGCTTTAAAAAGACCATCTGAAAAATTTCTTGATGACTTACTATGGAAAGAAAGGGGGAAGTGAATGGTTAGCATGTGAATATCCTCTGCTTTTCAACAGGTGACATGATAAGATATAAGGGTTTGACACATTCATGGCATTTGTTCCCCCCATTAAGACAGATATTAAACTCAGAGACTTAAAAGTGTGTTTGGACATAAATTATTACTGCCTTCTCTATTTGGAGCCCTGGCTACTAGGCTGGAATTCCAAAGATTTGGCCTTCCTCTGACCATTGTCCCAGGAGAAATCCTTGGATGCTACTTCTCTTTTAGTTAAAAAAAAACGCTTTGTGCTTTCTTCTTAGGGCCGTCCTGAATTAACACCCACAGCAATAGCTGCAGGAAAACTCCTGGCTCAGCGTCTTTTTGGCCAGTCTTCAGAATTGATGGACTATGACAATGTGAGTTGTTATTTCTTTTTTCAATAATAAACCCCAAATCTTAAGCTTTTTTTTCCCCCTTAAGAATTTTTAAAGGGATTACATTTTGTCATCTGGAATCCAGCTTTGACAGTAGCCAAAGTAGATGTGTGTGACAGGGCTACACTTCTCAGTCGTGCAAAAGTCTCCCCTGTATCTGCCATGCAGCTGCTTCATGTGGTTCACCAGTAACACTTTCTGTTTCCTCACAAGCAGGTACCTACTACAGTTTTCACTCCCTTGGAATATGGCTGTGTTGGACTGTCGGAAGAAGCGGCTGTGCAATGTTATGGATCAGATAATATTGAGGTACGAAAACATTTTTAATTTTATAGCTGGTGTCAGAGTTGCACTATGAAAAGACAGAAGTTTCACTGTTGTATTAGGCAAACTTTTTGGTCCCCAAAATACTACGTTTCCAGTTAGGGAGTTGGTGTCTTCAGAAAAGCTCAGGACTTTAAAAGTGTTGCAGCAAGTCACAATGGAAACTGTTACCTAGTGGGCTTGAAATGATTGATAGGGTGTGACAGCTTTAAACCAGCTGGCATTTTAGTAAGTTATATTGTGTAGCATCATTAAATAATGGTTATGTTCCTTCTAATTGTTGGAATTGCTGGTCAGGTTCTTTAGTTTTCTGGGACATCCCCAGAAATATTCACACAAGCTGCTAAGTGTGTTTGTGGCTAAAATGTCTTGATATAATATGCCTGGGCATTGCATATTGAGGAAGAAATCTGTTACGGCATATATTCACACCCAGCCCTCTGATATGAGGAACGAGATTAAGGTACTCATGATGAAGAAATTCACAATCACTATATAATAAGACAAAATTCAAACAAGTCACCTTTGGAAAGATATGTTGTGTTACCTTTATTCACTCATCAAAAAGACTGTCAGCATATGACTTGGTAAGCTATGGAAATACAAAATGCAATATTTCATGTCCTGTCAGTGATTAGTTTTGTCTTTTATGATTCTGAAATATAGTTCGTACTTCAAAAGTCTGTCCCAGAACTCTTTTCTGGATTTTTGGATGCTAGTGCCATCTAGAATGATATAAATTACTGTAAAAAGTTGTTCTCATCTGATTAAGGCAGATAATTGATGTGTGTGTGTGTGTGTGTCATAAGATGCTGATGTTATGTATGTATTGGAGAGCAAGTTCAGCTGATGGATTTAGCTTGGAGCCCCAGGCAAAATCATTAATGAAAAAATAAACATTTACTATTCAGACTGCAGAAATTACAGTTTGGATTGTCTTGAGGTATACATTATTATAGATATGGAAAGCTTCTTGGATTTCATTATTTTCAGTAAATAAGGTATTAAACTTTTGGGAGTAGCTTAAAGGAACAAAACTAACGTTTTTAATTTGGGGCACTGGTTTGAGTAACATGATTATTTGTGATTTTTTTTTTTTCCAGTTTTGTTTTTAATGGTTCTCTAAGAAAGGTTTGTGTTAAACTCTAACTGTGCTTTCCATACTTTTCTTTAAAATAACAGGTTTTAAATCAATTTTTTCTATAACATTATAAATATGTAGTAATAGTAGTCATTATAATACTAAATAGCAGTTTTTGACATAATAGTACTCTCTAACACAAAATGTTATTGTTTTCCCTACCAGGTATACCACGCGTATTATAAACCTTTAGAGTTTACAGTGGCTGAAAGAGATGCAACTCAGTGCTATATGAAAGTGAGTGTTGTGAGCTTTTCACTTGTTTTTGACTTAGAACAAGAGATACAGTACAGCCAGCTTTAAGGAGGGCTGTTTGGCAAAAAAACATTTCAAGATGGATGACATATTTTCTTGGTGACAGTCTGTTTCTCTAGTGTAACTTCAAATGTTTAATATTCATTAGATACCCCATTGCATCTTGAAATTGCTTTACAGATATTAGCATTTTTCAGAGCTGACATTCTGCTGATTGATACCATCTTTGAACTGCTCTGAAGGTCCTAAGAAATATTCCAAATTCTATAGAGATTAATCTCTGCTTCCCCCAGCAAAGTTCTTAACTAGTTATGTGTAATATTTGAATTGCCATCTCTTGGAGAAAGTATGCTACCTTCAAAAAAATGAAGCATAAGGCTTACAAAACTAGAGTAACTGTTCAGTCTTACTCAGGAAAACAAAAACCTCCTGGTTTAGACCAAAGTGTTGGACTTGAAATGTGTCTTCTCCTAGAGCAATCCAGTTGCTTCAGTGTTGAAAAGGTTTTTTGATGTGCTTGCCCATAGTAGAGAATCTGAGATAAGGTGAAGTGTAATGTTGGTAGAATATATCATAGTTTTCTTTTTCTTTCTTTTCTCCTCAATATCAGGGAAGAATCTTCTTTGAATAAACATAGTAACTTCTGTAGGTCCATCACAAATTCTTATGTTATTGTTGTTGTGTGATACATCAGATGTAAGGAATATCCATTGTCAGTAGTTGCAACCAGTTTTTCTAACTATATTTTGTGACATCTGATTTGTGTAACTGCCTTAGTAGCTTGCCTTAACTGTCCCAAGTATCAGTGCAACTGAGGTGATGCTACTTCTTTTTAGCTATTCCCTTTAAGTTACGTCAATGAAAGTGAAATTTTGAGGGTGAAGTATATAGCGTAATAGTTGTTTGATGATACTGAATATAGTCCTTACTAAACTTCCAAAACACATGAACAAACTCTAAACTTGAGAGTTTCAAACTCTATTGCAAGAGAATTTTTTCTTTAAAACTCCTCAATATTTAAGGTACCATGCCAGGATTGCTGCTGTTCCTGGGATTCCTAATGAAAGAATCCAAGCCTTTACTGAATAGCAGAACCTATTAGATTAGTGATGATTTAATGCTTAATGGGAGGACACAGGGAGAGACTGACTTTGTCTTCATAATTATAAAGATGGTATCCTTATAGGAACTAAAAAGTTTTCATGAAGTTCTCTAATAAAAGTTAAGCGTGCAGTGACTCAGGCCTTCCCAGATACTTATTAAGTCACCTTCATCTTTGGCTGCTTCCAAGGCTTGACTCCTTTTTAGGTTATGTGGCTCATGTGGTAAATGTATCTCACCAAACATGCTGCCGTGTTTACTGACTGAATCACAAAGGCACAAAATATCCTATAATTTGCAGTGGTCATCTTTGGAAATACCGCTGATTAGCTGCTGAGAATATCTGCACAGGCTTGGAGAATTGCTAAGGTGGCGATTCAGTGTCAGAATAACACTAGTCTGGTTACTAGATAACAGAAGGTATTTTGAGAATTTCATATAAATGACAAACAACAAAGTATTCAATTTACCACAAATTATTGTTGTCAGTGGCTCCCTGAAGTCTGAAAGAAATACACTAATAAAGCTTCGATTCAGGAAAGCGCTTAGGGACGAGCGTAAGACCTATCAAAGTCAGTAAGACTTAAGCAAGTGCGTAAGTTCTTGGCACACTGGGAATAAACAGCTGAACTAGGATCTCGGGGCACTTCAGTTTCATTTAATTAAACTTCATGCCTTATCTTTAAATGTTCTAAGAAAAGATCTCTATGTAATGTATTGTTTTCAGATGGTGTGCTTACAAGAGAGAGAGCAACGAATACTTGGCCTTCATTTCATTGGACCAAATGCAGGCGAAGTTATTCAAGGATTTGCTCTTGGAATCAAGTAAGTACAAAAGAATGTCTCTAGCTTCTAAAGCCTGCTTTTTAAGTTATTGTAAGATTATAAAAGATAGCTGCCTAGTTTTGGCAACACTATAAAGAATCCATGCTTTTTGTTACTTTTATGTAGTATTGCACATATTTTCACTAAAAATACTGCAGTTCTTCATTAAGATGTACTGGATTTAGTTACTATATTACTGGATATAGTTAAGGAACAACTGAGGAAAATATATTGTTGGCTTGATAGAGTTAAAGCGAAAACTAAAATTGTGCATTAACTTACTAATGTTAGTTTTCTCAGAGTGTAGCCTCGTTTGCATTCTATGCACAGGATAGGAAATCACCATATAGTTTTGCAAGTCACTTCTTCAAAAGGATATTTGTGCTGTTCATAAAAGCCTTTCTTCACACCTGCCAAGCATTTCCTTTCCTAATCTCATCTTTAAATGTGCACAGCCATTGCTCCTCAAAAGCTCAGCAAGGACTTGGATGATTTTTTTAATATTTCTGGGGTATAAGCTAACCATAATATGGTAAGATAAGAAAGAAACCTCTGTAGGGTGGTGGGAGAGGGGCGGTAGTTTTGTCTGGAGCTATCTGATAATTGCAATAACTTCCCCAAGTAGGTGAACCTTTGTGATCTGATCTTGTTTAAGATTTTGCTCAAATATTAATATAGAAATCCTCCCTTTGAAGGAGTAAGGAATGATTCTGGGTCCTCTCTGGTGAAATGGAGAATTCCTGCTATGCTTCTTGTGTGCTACAATTATTTCTTATTTGTTTTTTCATTTCCCTTCTTATTGCTGATTCACATCTTCAGAAATGTTGATTCGTATATTTACATTTCTAAATTACAGTTTTTAACTCCTCTTTGAAGAAAGTAGGCTGGGACACAAGAAGTCACCCCCAGTTGTGGTGTTAGTTCATTTTCCTAAATATCATCACCATTTTATTGCAGTATTAGTCTTACAGTTGTGAGTGACTAGCATAAATGAAAAGCAGAAAGGATTAAGAAGGCAGGACCGCAAGTATCATGTGAGGAATATCTTGGAAATCACTGATTGCAGTGTACCCTCAGTACACATTTTCAACATGTGTTTGTAGTCCATTAATTGCCAGTGGTATAGATTCTAGAACTGCATTTTTTAGGATGTTATTGTTTTGAAGTTTTATCCAAAATAACCAGTGAAAAGGAAGCACATGAAACTGGAGTGCTTTTCTGCCTTGCCTGAGGGAAATTAAAACTTTAGCCACAGTAAGAGGTTTTCAGCAGGTCAGATTCTTGTATTGGTTTCTATTGTATTTCACAAATCCAGACCTTTCAATGTGGAACACCCGCTGTAAGAGCTGCTGTTCTCCTTTGTCAAATATTAGGTCTTACCTCAGCCTCTCCAAAGGACGATGATCCATCTTCCCTCCCCACTTAGCACTCCAGTAACATCAGTGCTCAGCAATGATTTTTTGCTTGTCAGTGCTCTTTTGGATGTAGGTGGGGACACCAGAAGACATCTATGGCTCTCTTCCCTGTATTTTATAGAGGGAAAGAACATTATTCCATAGAGAGCCTGAAACAATTCTTAAATTTAGGGCCATTTCAGCTATTCTTACAGCATGACCTGCCAGGAATAGCAGCTCAAAGGAAAGTCATCCAGTCTTAAGAATGTTATTGGACAAGTAAAAGAATAAAGCAAGTGGGATTTTAGCTCAAGGGTTTTCCTGGTGGTTTTTTGTTTTGTTTTTTCAAATGAGAGACTTTTTCCTCCTGCTTATAACATTTGATAATTTCAGTGTAAGCACCAGACTTTCTCTAAGATCATGGAAGAATATTCTGGCATTACTGCCTTCAGTAGATTCTTGCCAGCAGTCCTAATTAAGATTTTCTTCCTCTGTGTGCATGTGTGTGTTTTTCCATCTGGAGTCAGAGTTAGTGACACACACATGTATGTACAAGAAAAGCTGAAGGCTGCAGTTTTGTCATATGTTTTTGCCATAGGCTCAGTTGTGACTTAGGGTAAATTGCTTAATTCTCTCTGTCTCAACTCTTATGACAATTCTTTCCTACCTAACAGTGTTGTGAAGCTGGGCGTTTAAATGTTGTTGTGTAAGTGCCTGAGAAATAATAGACAGCATTGTTTGAAGAATGAATGCAACTCCTCTACCTGATAAAATGGACAAAAACAGAATTACTTTGATGTTTTAGGACATTCTAGCTGCTTCAGGTGAATAGTGTTTGACTTTGTGGGTCTTTTCTTTTTTTTGGTAGATGCGGTGCTACGTATCCTCAACTAATGAAGACAATTGGCATTCACCCTACCTGTGCTGAAGAAATTACCAAGTTGCACATTACAAAGCGTTCTGGCTTGGATGCAACAGTCACAGGCTGCTGAGGTTAAATACCATCCCTGGAAAGAAGGAAAAAAAAAAGCACAAAATATATTTGTAAAGAAAAGGGGCACTTAGAGTTGAAACAGCTTTAATGGTTCAAGTTCCAGGAATCTTTCTCATTCTCCCTGTAGACAGCTTTTGCTCACAGCCAGACAAAGAAATTGTCCTCACACCATCGCAGTTCTAAAACCAATGCAGTCTTTCAAAGTGCCTATACCTCTTCTCTTGCTGGGAGCTAGGGAATAATCACAGTTCTGTATATGTAAATGTAACTGAAGCCAGTGACATCTGAGGCCATCTACAAATTAAACAGTTGTCATCTGAGTTTCTCTGCTGGCATGACTGACTGCCAACAGAAGTGTCTCACATAATGTCCATACAGATGCTAGGAATCGGACAGGGCCTCCCTTAGAATTTTGGTGATGATACTTTCTCCTGAGTACATGGATAGCTCATTACTGATCCTAATCTTCAACACTGAGACTCTGTACTCACTAGTAGAAACAAGTTCCGAGAGTGTTTAACAATGGGTAAGCAGTCATCTTTGGGTTTTTTCTTTAAAATGTAATATGTACAGGAATTTAATAGAAAATCACATCACTGAAGCTGTGCTGCTACTGGATGAATCCCAATGGATTATTCAGAGACAGCCTGGTCATAACATTATAGTGATGGCTGAGAATGAATGAGCTCAGAGGTGCTAAAGAAAGAGTTGAATTTTATGGTGACTTCTCTGCCTACTCTTGAAATTTCTAATTCAGTTCAGTCACTTCAAATTAAATTGACACATCTTACAAATTACTGCTTGAACACCATATTTTAAGCAACACTGACAAGTGGAATCAAAGCCACTAATAATCCAACTCACGCAGCATTTTCTGGTTTATAGAATGCGGAAATCTGGCTGACACAGTGATATATTTTGTTGGTTTGTTTTTAAGATGGTGAGCTGGATACTACACCTGAATGGATTTAGGTCTGGCTTTAATAAAACATGTTACTGAAGGGAACTGTATTAAACAGTGATCTAGAAAAGAAATGGTCCTGCTCAGAGCAAAGAGAGAAAATAATTATCTGCAAACTCTTTTTTTTTTTTTTTTTTTTTTTTTTTTAGTATTGGCCAGAGTAAGAAAGCATTAATCTGTTGCGAGTTTCTGCTTATTTTCCTGCTATCCAGAAGGGGGAGATGCTGGCTAATTTGTGGCAATAAAGAAACAGAAATCTGATAGTGAAGCTGCTTTTGCAGAACCCTGTTAAATAGGTGGCCTGACGAAGGCAAACACAAAGCAAACTGCCCTGAATTTCAATCAAGTTGCAGTTGCCAACATTTTGGTATGTATAGTCACATAGTTTCTTGTACCCTTTACAGTAGAATACTGCATGTAAGAAAAGAAGAGATCAGCTTGAGGTGAAACAAAAGGTATCCTTTTTGCAGTTAATTTATATCAGTGTTTTTGTGGTGGAATTTGATATTTTCATAGCTGTCCTTCTGCTTGTTGTACAGTTAGATCAGAATACAGTTGTACAGTTACATCAGAATAGTCTGACAATGGTGTGTATCTTTGCTATTTTTTCTTTGACTGCTCTTTCATTGCTGCAGCATGCCACAGACAAATCGTTGGTTTATTTCAAGTGTGAAATCTTTTTTACTATGAGAATTGTACCTGTCAGAGAAACTATTAGACAAAAAGTGATCAGACCTTCCTTCTAAAATATGATGTAATAGCATTTATCACACTCTCACTGATACTAGAATACTCCATTTTCAAAGATTCATTCTGACTTAAACAACAACAAAAGAAATCTTAAACGCTTTCTTTACAGTTTCCTGATTTTTGGTCCGTATTTCTGGTCCATAAAAGAGGAAGGAGTGATACAGTTTGACTGCAAGTGGCACTCTATCAGATCTGCTGATGCCATTTTTCATCTATGAAGTCATCCATAAGTTTGTAGTTGAAAAGAAATACTTTGAGTGGAAGTGTGGTTGAAACACTGCCTGAATATTGCAACTGCCTTCAGAAGAAAATGAAAACTTTATATCTGTATATAAATGTGCGCATACCTGCACATTCAGAAGTTCCTGTTTCCTTTAATAAAGGTCTTACGAGTACGATACAGCCAAAAACCCTAAGAGATTTTCCCAGCTTTTTACAAAAGAAAAAAAAAAGTTCATAGTAAATTACGGCTTTTTAAAAATCTTTTACTTAATATTTCAAAACATGGAGATACTGAGCATGTCAGTCTACAGAGATTTTTGTTGTGAGAAACATCCCATCTCTGACTAAACTGTAATGTGTATTCATGCAAGATTTTTGTTTTCCTAGTGATTACCTGTTACAGTTCCTTTTGTACCCCTAAATGAAAACATTGGTGTTTAGCCATGTGAAAGCTGCTTCTCTTCTCTGTCCTACCAATGCATCCAGCAGACTGAGTTGTCTGCCCCTACAGACAAATCAATGTTAATTTCATTCATCATAAAGTTCAAAATAATGATTTGGGACAACAAGCAAAGAGATCTCGAGGAAACATGTCCTCAGTGTATATGGGGTGTGAAAGTAAGGCATGTCATCGTTCTCAGAAGTAATAGATCTCCCTTGGTTTTAGAATTGCTGAGTGGACTGCATGAAAATTGATCCTGTATCTTGAACAGCAGCCTAGTTCTGTTCCTCATTTAGTGAAAAATGCCATTGCCCCCCTGAAGTAGAACTAAACATACATTCACACCTACATAACCTAATGTCAGAATCGGCAGCAAGACAGAATAATGACAACTACTATGATTGTGCTTTTTTTTCCCTGAAGGATTCGCCAGGGATGGTCCTTAAGAACTGTTTTTAAAAGCCTGACTAATGTCAATTGAAATGACTGATGTACGCTGCAAATTACTGATTATATGTTAAACTGTAAAAAAAAACCCAACCAAACAAAAAAACCTCAGTCAGGCTTCTTCTCAGGATGCCAGCTGATGAGGGCTTGTTTGTCAAACCACACCACGGTGCAAACAAGTCTGACCATTGCTGGGTCCCTCGTATGTATGATTCCAATATTTATTGTGTTGTGAATTAATCAACTAATAAAGAAATTCCTTTTCTAGTAAATGTTTGATTGTATTTTTAAAATTTTTTACATATGACTTCTGCTTACAAAAGATTTCTTTTTTGATCTTAATGCTGTTTCTGTCGCTTGAGGTATGTGTTAAGGAAACGGAAGAAGTAGACAGACTCAGACCTTTTAATAAAGAAATGTTGATACCTGTCTGTCTCTGATGTGTAAACGGAATAACCGTGGAGATTATTCCAGGCTGGATGACTTTCTTATTTTAAATTTAAGTTAAGAGAACCTCTAGGTTTGGTAAGTATGGTTTCAAATACTCTCCTGTTTATTCCAGCTAATGAGGTCTAACAGGTATTTTCACAGTCCATGTATGTTGACATGCTTCTTGAAGCCTTGTTAAGAGGAAACTCCCTTGAAATACAGTGCATTTAGCACTATTACACAGGGCGAAACTATTCTACATTAGCTATTCATTTTTGGTTTTAAACTAGAACATGTAGTGGAAAAAATGCATTGCGGCAAAGCCAATTAGTAGCTGTGGGTACTGCTAGGTAAAAATGTTGGAAAATTAATTAGGAAATGACTAGCAAAATATATTTAAAAACCCTGAGAAACTTCTCTGTCAGAAAAGAAAGGGACTACATTGTTCGAATTTATCTCAATTTTCTTTTATTTCTTTAAATCTGCTTATTTTGATGAGAACTTCCCATTAAGTCAGGTGATGCTGAGCTTCTGAAACAGGCTAGTTTAATATTACCTTAGTATATGCCCTGGATTTCATGCTGAGAAGGAATTTTGACTTTACTGTATTAAAAGTCATTTCTACTTCTGCATTTTTAATCTCATTTCCTGGAATATTTCATTGCAGGTTCTAACTAATTAGGATAGCTAGGAATAGCGGCTAAAGAAGGGAATAAGGTAAGCATAATTCTTGATTTTTTTTTTTCTCCTTATTTTCATATACCACATAATCCTGAAGCAAACAAGAATAACAGACAAACATATAGACAATAATCTTTATAAATCGGGAATTTAATGTACTGCATTATTTATATTAGACCTAATGATAGCTTGTTCTCAATGCTAAGGTATTGTGTACAATTAAGTTTTGCCTTTTTCTATTTATGCATGCACTATATGTCATTATACCCACTGGAAAATGATTCTACAGTTTAGATTATTCCAGACCAGGAGCTGGAAAAGATATTTCAGTACAGCAGACACACTTTTTTTTTGTTAGCACAGTTATTCTGATAAAAACATAGGTGCCATAGTGCAATGTATTTCTAACCAAAACAGTTGCATATTGTACAAACTCAAAAACATTTTGAGTTTGAAGGCTTCCCTTCAGAGGCTCATGCCTATCCAACAAAGTAGGCAATTTTGCCCATATAAATTGCCATTTGTCTAAATCCCAGTGAAATCAATGTACTCAAAGTTAATGTTAGCCATTAATTTCAGTGGGATGCAAGTATGTGTCTTAAGTGCTTTGTTAAAGGGGAATCAATATAAGCATATGCCAAAATGTCTTTCATTATTACAGTTGGGGAACAGGCTGCAATTATGATTCAAAACATAAAAGGTACAATAGACATCTATGATTAGGCAATGAAATATGCCTTTAATAAGCATAGTGCAGACAGTTTGTTTTGCAATAAGTAAACTTGTATAAAATTCATTGACTTTTTCATTCTTTCAAATCTATGTGCTCTTTTTTAAGAGAGGTTTTTTTAGTTTTATGCACAAAGTTTTCCTGATGTTCTTCCAGCAGAAAGGCTGGGTTTGCATGCATTAATTCTACTGCCAAACTTGAATTTTACTGTGAAAAGAGGAAACAGCAGAGCAGGCTTTTTTTTTTCTTTTTTCTTCCCAGGGCAGCATGCAACAGATATGATGTAATTACTCCAACTGATTTTTTTTAAAAATGGAGTATTTCTGTCCACTACAT